AAGGGTGTGCATCTAATCGGTAAGTGTTATGGCTTTTCCGACTGAGCACTCACTATAGCTACCAAGTGTGCTCTAATGCACCTTCTCGCTTGATAGTCGCGATTCTTATCTGCATGGCTGCTCATGAGATGCGTGAATAGGGTAAAGCTAATGCGAAATGTCTTTTATCGATTATGCGAAACGAAAACTATTCTGCAAATCGATGCGTAGAGTATTAAGAGCAACAACAATCCTGGTAACTCTCGTGATTCCTTCTGATGGATACTTTAGGTAGGGAAAGCATTGTAGTGTGAATTTAGCTGACCCATTCCAGGTAATATTTCTACGAACATGAAAGCTAGAGTCATAGTACTAAGTCCAGGTAATGTTTCCTTATAAATAAATTGAATGGTTGAGTGCAGCGCAAAGTGTGCCCCTTTGGAGGATGCGCGGACTAAAAGCACTTCTTAATTTTTGCAGTTTTTCGGGAAGCATCCACAAAGAATTCTCTTGGTATGTTTTTAAGGAGTTTTAGTGGAGCATTCTTGATGACAAAGGATTCTTGACGACAAATTTTACATAGTCTAACAGTTCCAAAGGCCGCTCTGCAGAAAGCGTTGTAATTGTGAAGGCATACAATGAAGGCCTTTGCTACTGAGAGAAAACACTTGCTTGCATTCAAGTTTATTACAAGAACGTAATAGAACATTCCCTCAAGTTTTCGTAAGTCGCGTTTTTATACCCACCACTGTAAGATGGGGGTATATTCATTTTGTTTTTTCCGCTAATATATGTATCATCCAATAGGAAGATTCAGAGACCCTATAAGGTACAAAAAGTATATATATTCTTGATCAGCGTGGAAGTCTGAGTTGATTTAGACATGTCTGTCCGTCTGTGTGTGTGTCTCTATGTCTGTGTGTCTCTATGGTGTTTGCTCTTGGCACCCTCATGGTCGGTAAAATGAAGAGATCGGCGTCAAATTCGGTTAAGACATTAGAACCCTTAGCACGCAGGTTAGCATTGGAATTGGGCCAAATTGCTCAAAGCATAGGCCCTCAGGGGAGCACAAATTAAACGCGACTCTCTTTTTCTTAACGAAAATTTGTAGGTTTTTGCTCGTTACTCAGAAATTATAAAAGTTAGAAGATTGAGATTTTACGTGTTTACCTCACGAATGATTGTATACTTTACGTGCAAAAATGGAAAAAGTCGGCCAGGCCCACACAAAGTTACAAGTGATTAAATTCAATTTTTTGCACTTTTTTGAGGTTTATTTGCCATTAGGCAAACAAGACCGAATTTTTAAAACTATTTTGTACGTTCTTTAAAATAAGACTATTTACCTAAAACACCGTGACCTGGTGGATCAATGTTTTTTTAATAATATCAGCGATATGGGTATAAAATTAAAGAACTCGGAGTGTAGAAGACGGCAAGGTAAGTGTTTCAGTTCTAAATTGATTCTGATAGATGTTGCGAAATGGAGGATACATTTTTCCTTAAATATAACGTGAATATGAGTATCTAATAAATAGGCTTGGAGACTGGAATGCGAAAAGCGATATGTGTCAATTCTAAACTAATTATGTTATATTAATTTTTCTTAACAATAGCTTTTGACGAAGGCAAAGGTGCAAGATAAATCTTATCGCATTCACTTTTTTTTTTGAAAATAAATAAAAGCTTGGGGCGCCAAATATTTTAATGGTGGTGGGTCGGTTCCAGCCGAATATAACTTTCTTATTTGTTCAGTTTTTAGTCGTGTTTTACTCCCTAAGTATCTAAGTTTTAATTGCAGTCCGTAGCAAGGGGATTATTAAGAAACGCATCCATTTTGAATATACAAAAAAAATGGACTTTTTCTGTATTGTATTGTGTTGCATAGTTTAGTGATAGGAATCAGAGTAAGTGAAAAATGTCAACAAAACACGTTTCTTTAAAGTTCTTTATACAAATACTTGAACAATTATTCAACAAATGTAAACAAATTGGACGCTTGTTCTCAAATTTTTCTTTACGTTACATAATGAACGTTTGCAATGTAAGTGACGCACTAGGTGCCAGAGCTGAGAGGGGTAACACAACCAAAAACATTTACAAAGCTGTCTTCGACCATCGACTGTTTGTTGAGTTCAATTCCCTTTATGTATTACGCCGAAGGATGCCGGTATATTCATTTGACAAAACATTTCGAATCTCCAGAAGGATATAGAGATCACAAAAAGTGTGTATACGTTTGACCAATATCGAATCCTCAATCAATCTAAGCATGTTCGTCCCTCCCTCTATGTAATGTTTTTTGTAAACAAAACTTGATAGCAAAAAAGAAAATATCGATGTCTGGACAGAGTTTTCTAAGGCCAAACATTTTTTAGATTACTCGTAAACAGCAGTGGATGATGTGATTTAAATGTCCGCGTATATTCTATAGTGCCTGTATGATAACAAATAAATTGGCCGAATAGAGTATTGAAGTTTGGTTTTTTTAATTTTTATGTAAGATGCAGGAGGGGTGAGTGTGGATATAACTCTATGATATTTGCCATATGGTATGGATTCAACGCAATTAATGAAGGAATGTTTGCTCTTTTGCCAGGACTTCATTTTTTCGAATTTTCATTTCTCGTCAAATGTTAGAAAGCGTTTCATGGCTGTTTTAATATATATATATATATATATATATATATATATATATATATAGTTTAAATTAAAAGCAAAACACTGATCAGTCTAATATCGCAATGCTAGTCATTTAAAAAAAATACTTGTGTTCGTACCTATATATATATGACAAAAATATATCTATATATATGTATATATATACCTACATATATATATATATCTTTCGCGATTCTCACTATACATAAGCTAAAGAGATTCTAAATATTTTATTTCTCTCTAAACCTAACTAAAATTTTTCATACAAAAATATACAAAATATGTGATTGTTCTTCATTTTTAGTACAAATTTTAAGAAAAATACTTGTGCTGGTTTATTATGCAGATATGTGTATGTGTATAAAATCTAAATTTCATTTAGAATTTAATTGTAGTTCGAGAGCAATTTTAAGCTAAACTACTAACGCATTGCTTTAATATAAGCTTAATTTGTACTTAATCATTAACTAGGTTTTCTCGCTAGTATTTAGAAAATTCATTTTATGGTTGTTAGGCATTTCCTATAAACTAATAGACTCAAAATTCTTTTCTTTCTTTCTTTTTTTTTTTTTTTTGTTTTGCCTTAATTTTAACACCGAATGTTCCACAATTGACTGATATTTTAATGTTTTTCCCTCTTTTTCTTTTTTAGTTTTAAGCAGGTGCAATTAATATCAATATCAATATCAAGGCACCTTGAATTCTCTGATTGTTGCCATCACAATTGTTGTGCCTCTAATATCAAACAACGTAAATATATTATCAATTATCAAAAGAAAAACAATTTGTTCAAAAAGTAAGCAATCGTTGGTGTTCAAAACCCAGAATTTTGAGAAATTTTGCTGTGCCTGAAACAAAATTTTAAAAAGTCATGCAGGCAGCGTATTATTAAACGATGTTCTGTCACTGTTTATTAAATTACAAAAGATATGCGCTCTTTTAGATCTGATTGGACAGCTCTTTCTAAAGACTGATGCAAATGGTAATCCAATAGTTTCCATGCTTTAAAGTCTGCTTTCTTCATTTTTGCCTGGTCGTTAAAACTAAGGCTCCAGTGGCTCCAGTCATCTTGTGATATATATGAATTTTTCTTTCGATATTCCTTGGCCGTAATAGTTGTTACAGGGAGATGCGCATTGCTTACGTTATTTTGATACAGGAAGACCTTTTATCAAACGAATATCACAACCACTTCAGGCGTCACTAGGAGCTTTACTGCTAGCTTTCTTGTTTTATTTGGCTCCGAATCTTTTAAAACCATCATATCTTTCTTTCGGCACAGTACGGCTGTGTTGCCGGAAAAGTGAAAAAAATGATGGAAATTGCTGTGATTAAAGTGTACTGCACCAATTTTTCTCAATAAATGCCTCTGTCCAGTGCAAAAATGACCAAAATACATGCAAGCACTTAATCTATGCTTGAATCAATCACAACAATTGTCGACAATACATGTCACTTTTTGCTATGCGCTTCCTTCGAACGCACCGCGCAACTTCCTTAGATGAGTTTAGCCACTTATTGCCTAGCTGTTGTGCGCACCGATCGTTCCGATTTGCGGACATCTACTATGTTATTATAATGTTCGAAGCTGTGCATTGCTCAGCCCTCGTGCGTCCAGCTAGCAGCTTTGCTGATGAGCAGCGGAGTTGGCTTTCACTTCTATTATTATCTTTTGGCATACATTGCCATGATTTGTGCTTTTCTTATCACGCGCTATCAATCGCTCTCAAAAAGGCTTGGAATGATAGTTAAAATGTTGACTTTGTTTTTGTAATCAACTTTTCTCCATTACCTTGACACAATTTTGTAATAGTAGATGAGTGTTTATATGCCGGTGTCACAAGGCTTTCTCGGAAATCTAATTCGTTTTACGGCTTTACTCGACCCGTGGAGAATCCTTCTTGTTACCTTTTCTCGAAACGCAATCAAATGCATAATGGTTCGACGGCTGCTTTTTATTGTGCATCTCACTGTTAGTTAGAACAGCATCGTCCATGAATCTCGGCGACTCCTATGGCTTTGTGAAGAGAAAATTATAAAATTTTATATAATATCTTCATTTCACTTTCGCTCTTCAAAAGTCAGCTAAGGTACTGCGTCAATCATTATTACTAGCTTCAACTCGTACGCGACAGTAATACTTTTCATCCTATCTATTTCTTAAAAAAATATTAAAATGTCAGCTCGTTTTGGAACACCCCCTTATATTATAAAAAAAAAAAGAAAAAAAAAACTTAAATTAAAAACATATTAAAACTTTTTCAAAAGGAAAAAAGTAGAAATTTTTAAATGAAAACGTTTTTAACGCTTTTTTTCTTTTGTTATCTAAAAAAACTATCATTTTTTTCAAAAAGCAATAACAAAATCTTAACTTAGAAAATATTCATGGTTGTATATATATAAATGTATAACGTCGTATCATATATAAATGTATGAGTGTACGCGATATCAATTCAAAAATGGTTTTGTATTTCATTTTAAATGCGTTAACAAGCGAATGGATGGATGTCGCAAATGAATCGAATGTACGTGTGATTTCTCTTCTTTCGTCTACGTTCCGTAATGTGAGTTTTTTTCGTTTTTCTTAACAAAACCTTAATCGAATTAATATCTAACGTTTAGGGAAATGGAAAATGAATATTAATTATATCATCATCTAAAAATATATTTATAAAAAATAAAACAAATTTTACTACAATTTTATCCAAAATCGTTTCGCGTTATGAAACGTAGCCAATCAATTACGATCATTACAATGATCTGTGATCATATGTAAGTGCGTTTGACTTTTGTTAACGTTGACGTTTTGCAGGGTAACTCTTTTTCGAGATTCTCCGTTGAATTCTTACATTCGTGACTGCGATCTTTTTCCAAATCCAAATTTGGTTTTTTCGTCTGACAATAATGATTTGGATTCATAAGCAGATTAATATCTTTACCGTGCTTTAAACCGAATTGTCTGAAACCGAAGAAAAAAACCATTGATCATAAGCCTTTAGTTCAAGCTCAAGGAAAATACTCACGGATTTGAATTAAACTGATTGCGGTGGCTACTGTGCAGAGACGGAGGCTTACAGTTACGCTTCGATACATGTAAACCAACGACCATTCCTATGATAAACACTAAAGCCAAAGCCAATGCTCCGAAGCCCCAATAGAAACTTTTACCAGCCAATTGTAATTTTTGTTCATCCACACCAGCCGACGCATGTAAAGGATCTTATGGGATGCACAAAGAGAACATAACATTATATACATTTATTTTCTTAAACGCAAAACGTACCTTTTACGGAATTTATTAAATCGTGAGCCTCTACCGACGGTAAGCTTATTTTATTCCCTTCGTTGAAGGTATTTAAGAGAAAGTCGTCTCCGCCTACCGCTGTAGGTATGTCTAAATCTGGTGAGTTAGCGTCTAAGGCGGTACCGCTAAGTATAATGCCAGGAGCAGTGACAATATTAGTATTCGCTACTTTGTTGCCAAGATCTTCATCTTTATGACTTGGTATATTCATCGAAGCATCTAAGGCGTTATCGGTAACTGTTCCCAAATTAACAGCCGGCCCTTCCGCAATCACTATACCTTTACCTAATTTAGGACACAAATTTTTAGCCGCCCATTTACTAGTATTCAACGACTGCAAGAACATTTTTGTGCCAAATTTATGATTTGCTATGGAAAGACTTCTACATTCATGCGTCTGTTGATCCCAAGCGCAGTTGGGATCTTGCAAAGCCAAACAGCTGGCACAATCCACTATATGATTGCAATGATGTAGAGGAACCGTTACCAAACTACCATCGCTGACTACGAGTAAAGTGTTGGTTTTAAAAGAAACTACAAGTTCACGAACTGGCACGCCTATCGGTAACACTTGGGTTTCAGAGATCAATATAAACTTCAACTCATCAAAACTTGCGGAGTTGCCACCATTGGTAGCGGTAGGTATATTAATAAATTTTGTTACTTTACCATCATCGGTACCAGTGTAGATGACATCATGAAATTCTCCGTCTAAGCCTCGTACTTGTGGATCAACTGCTATCGTGGTTAATCGATGAAAAAGGTTGACTTTTTTCAATAGAGGTCGTCCAAAGACTGATGGCACTGATGTTTCCATTAAAGGATGATTCTTTACAAAATTCACGGCTATACTTGACAAGGTACGTGAATCATCAACACATTGTCCCGGACGGGGTTCAGGTACTTGTTCCTCTTGCACTGGCAGCCATTGCGATTGGCTGTCTTTCTGCGATTTAAAACGGCCTTGGAAAGCTTCCATAATATCGTCTATATTGAAAGCACAGACTGCCGAACCGGATATAGCATTAACCGAGGTAGTAAATACGGCATATATTAAAGGATTGGTGGGACTTTCCATAACTGAGCTAACAGCCTCTGTTTGGCAAAAAAGAAAAGCAAATCATAAAGAAAGAAGAAAACGGGAAATGATTCTTTCCTTTTGTACTTACGTATTTCATCAAAATAAAATGGAAATTCTCCAGGTACTGAGCAATTCAAACGAGCTTTCAAAAAAGAAGTCCAACTCTTTGATAGAGTGTAAGGGCCACCGCGATCATTCTTACAAACTCTGCCCACACGAGAGTAAACAGTCTGGTCGGAAGAGGAACACATTAATGTGCATAATTAAATTTAATGAGAAAACATTTTATTTACTTTGCCGAAATTCATAAATTCCATCGCTATTTCACGGAAGAAGAACATTACAAAGCCGTTACGCTCTACTGCACCCACAAAGTCCGGTTGATTTAATTGCTTCAAGTCGTATTGTTCGGTACGTAAATTTTCACGATATATTAAAGGGTCACCACCTGAAAAATCAGCGACCGTGGCACTGTACAATTGACCATCGGCAAACGCATATGTACTGTTATGCACCGGACTGTAAGGGCATAAACCTTGTGCTTCGACGTCACGCACAATTTCATAAGCAAACACTGAACTCCCATGCACTTCATCGACTGTGGGAGCGTAATGACGACACCTGGGCTTATAAGAATTTGTGCCGCATAAAAGTATTTGTCCATCTTCGAGATGAGCGAATACACGTATGTAGTTGTGACAATCGGATTCATGTTTACCCTTGAGAGCGCACAGCTCGCGATCAGCATCAGAGGAAAACCATTGAATGCGGCTATTTTCACGTAAGCCATTTAAGCTTATGTTGTACATAACATCCCTATCGGTAGAAAGAAGAATAAAGCGAGCGAAAAATATATGAAAATGATTTCAGAATTCATACACATTTAAGTAAACCAATATGTTGGTTAAAGTTAGGAAATTGAATTTTATTCCTAACTTTGATTAAAATTTTTGCATGTTGTACTTATACACTGAATTCACTGTACACTACTTTATATTTTTATTTATTTTTTTTTTTTTGAAATGAAAATGAATTGTTTTTGTCTTATAAGTATGTAATATGTATTTCGCACAGTTTTCGAAGAAAGTAATTAGAGTTTTTTTATCTCACACGAATTTTTAATCTTGTGGAATATATTACCAAACTTATCACTTGTCGCACACGTTTTCTCTACAATTTTTTTTGCACAGTTTCCTAAGGAAAGCGTCTACCTTGTAAGAAAGAGTTGGGTGTATATATCTAATTTATGTAATATATATAAATTTATATTTCCGAATCGAAATTATATATATTTATATATATATATATATATATATATATATATTTTATATTTTCAAATCGATGTAGTCACGCTAGCCTGTCAGTCCGTTTGTTTCTCTGCATCTATTTTCCTCTTGTACATCGCTTATGGTCCCAAATATTGGCATAGCTTAATGAACCTTGAAGAATATGTTGTTAGCTTAAGCCCGGCGCTTGAAATTGGAAGCTATGCACTCGTGAACATATTTTTAATTAGGTGTTGGAGCTATCAAACATTCATTCGAAGGCGACTATAGATTTGTATTTGGTTTTTTATTTTTACTTTTTGGAAACCCACTCGCAATCTTCCCGAACAAAAAAAAGGTGGATTTAGTTTTGTTATTTGGTCATTCACTCCGCTTCTTGAAAGTCGCAAAATGATTTAGCGAAACTTATCAATGGAGCTAGTGGCGGTGAGGAAGGTGCCCAATTCTACTCAAACGAACCGCCTTTGTTAAATAGCTCATGTAAGAAATAATATCATGAAAGTAAATCGCTAATCACTTTGCGAAGAAGAGTAACAATATATGTGAGAAAAAAAAAAGTATAAATTTCGACTCTTATCAGTGAAATGTGCTCTTGCAGGAAGAAATACTCGCGAATTCAATTTGAAGTCGCCAGCTTTCATGACAACTTGAACCTGGCCTATCAAATTTGTGAGAAATTTGACGTAAACTGATACCACTACGTGAGTTAAAAATACATATTTTGTGCAAAAAATAATAAGAATTGGATTACAAATAAAAATTTTGATTATGTCAATCAATGGTTTACGTACCTGGCACCGATCAAGATCGTATAATCGTCATGGTGTAAAACTTTAAAATAGTCCGTTGTGTTGCCAAAGAATTTGGCTAAAATTTTATCTTGTTCTAAAATTAGATGAAACGAACAATGAGGAAATTTTTAATAATCATAGAAATTAGAAAGAAAAAGCAAACAAAAAACAACAAAACAAACAACAAAAACAAAACAATATATGAAAGGAAATTTTTAATTAAAATCATTTTTCATGTTTGTCCGTTTGTTTGTGTTGATTGTAATTAATTAAATGTAAAAAAATTCTTTTTTTTTTTCCTTTTAATCTTCACACAGATGCAATACACATATACATATGTACGTAAGCATATGCATAGCTTATATTGTAATGTTATACTTATACTTACTTGCTTGTAAATCTGGTCTGACATCGGGCATCCATGCCAGGGCAGGTCTGCATAGTTGACATAAACAAATTAACAACAACAAAAATGTCAGCAATAGCAATGATCGCTTTTTAACTGTCGCAACTAATATTAGCATATTTGTGTACATGTTGTTGTTGCTCTTGCTTCTACTACAATAATTGTTATTGTTATTGTTATTGTTTCTATTGCGGTTGATGTTACTACAGCTACTATTTCTAAGCTTGCAGTAGCGATGATGATTATTTGTGTTAAGTGGAGCTTGTAATTTAATCATTTTCTCCTCTGTTTTGTTTATTTTGAAATTTTTACAGAACAGAAACAAAAAAAAAAAAAAAAAAATTCCCGTAATTATCTTAAATTGTAAAGAAAAATAACAAAACTTTGGAAATTCTATTAGACTTCACACAAAACGTATGTTTCGTTTGTCTTTCCCAATCGAGAAAACCTTAAACCGAAAAGACGTTGTTTGGTAATGGAAGAGCGATAACGGCAACGCTGATGACGATGGTGGTAGCGGTTGTGGTGGTGGTTTTACTTTAGTTTTGGTGTCACTTTAACTGGGGTGATAATTATTCACTTTTACTCAACCAAAACCCCTTTGTCCTTTTCAGCAAAGGGGTGTTCCTTAGTTCATCGGTCGATTCATATTCGTCTCAAATACTTTGCCGTCTGTCTTCTTTTTGTTTTTTGTTATTTTTGTTGTTTTGTTGCTCTTACTCTTCTCCTTGAGCTCTCCTGTTCAATTACATTAAACGAAGTCAATGTCGTGTAAAAAAGGGTTTTTAATTACACGCTCACTTTGTGTAGGTGCGTATGTGTTTTGTATGCGTAGAGACGTTATTGGAAACCGAATAATTTGCTCAATATTTTATTTTATTTTTTTTAATATTTTTGAAAAGAACCACAAAAATAAATGCATTAGTAGTACGATGCCATACGTATGTATATATATATATATACACTATGGCAACAACAAATAATTGTTGCTTAAGTGGCTGCTGGTTAACTGAGTGACTGGCTGGTTCGCTGTCTGGCTGATTGTCGGCCTGGTTGAACTGGTGTTTGGATGGATGACTGATTGCTTGTTTGTTTGATCATATAACTCGGTCTGTAATGAGAATGTAATGCAGAGAGAAAATATGTTTCAATATATTATAGTTGTTGTTATTGTTGTACTATTTTTTTTTTTTTATTGTTTTTCATCACCGTTATTTTAACTTGCATTGACATACATTAGAGCTTTTTGCCAATGATAACTGGTTACTGGCTGGAGGGATATCAATTACATGTATGCAAGCATGCACAAGCATACGTACATATATTCTTTGCTGTAATTGCGCCATCTCTCCAATACGAGTAGTGCCATGTAAAAAAATGCACGACAAGTATATTTTTAATAGTAAAATTAATTTATTAGAAATCAATTTATATTTCATTTTATACCCTACACCACTCGTGGCACAAGGTACATTCACTTTGACTGGACTTAAGATAAACCTACTTTTTATGTATCGATCTAAGATTATCTATCCGTTTGTCCGGGTGTCTAATTTAACTCCATCTGCTCTTGTGTTCATGAAAAAAATTGCAATTTATAAAATTCCTTAAGAAAAATCGCTGAATCCTTCCATGCAACAGTTCCAAAGCAAGCTGAACCTTTATATGGTAGAAGAGCCTAATTTTCAATATTTCATGGTGAAAATTGGCTCATCATAACAATTTCATACATAAATTGATCTTGCCATATTTGGCAAGATCTCTTTGTCGATCTCTTTGTGAATCCCAGCCCATGTAAGGGTTTCGAAAGAAAGGCAAACCTCTATGTGGGAAACTTGATGTTCTGTGGTGAAAATTCGTCCTAAGGATAATTTAGTGAAAAACTTAACCATATAAAGTTTGAATCCAATAGATCCATTGGATGCCCACCGCGTCAAGAATCCTTATATGTCGAAGTGGCCTTACTGTTAATATTTTATGACAACAATTAATTGATAATAGTAACTTGACATAAAAATTAATTGGATCAAGTTTGCACCACATGGATCCATTTTGTGGATCCATTCCATATAAGGACTTCTTCGAACAGTAAGCCATTTAGCAATAATTTGTAATTTTGAATTTTTATTATGCTACTATGGACGCATAGTGGCAATTGGACATAAAAATCAACCGTAGGGCATTTGCATCATATAGATCTCTTTTTTAGTTCCCACCATATGTAGCTGTAGCAGGCTCATGAACATCAAACCCTTACTTGCCTACAAAATCTAACTTGTAGTTTTTGCGAAAATAGGTAGAAAATGATAAAATCTTTCACAATTAAATCTAGTTTATTAAATTTGGATCGCATATCAGTTGACGTTTCGCGTAGAGTCCAACGCTTCGGTTTTCATGAAATGTCTTCATGGAAAAAAAAAATGTAAAAACTATTGGTGTATTATCATGAGAAAGAAAGTGTGAGTAACTGTATTAGACGAAATTGTGTACGGAATACAAAGCTTTATATAACGGTCTTACTCTTTTTGGCTGTCCTTTTAATTACCTTATGGCTTATTTAACGCATAATGCTTCTAACGCTTTTCAAATGCCTCAGCTAAGGTAATACCAACATTTTTTAAATAGACCGATAGATAGGAAAAAAATCAAAGGATATATTGATTTAGTTACGAAGGAAGGTACAAGTCTGAAAGTTTATGAAAATATTTCTTTGAAACCAGAAATCGAAATCCATTGGTTTCTTTTTTCTTCGAGAGAGAGAGAGAGGGCAACATTGAGGACCACAAAGACATAAGAAGTTTTGAAGATATGATTCAAAATCTAGCAATCATCGCAGGGTTTTTTTTGAAAAAATTAACTTCAAAAAAAGTAAAGAAATTATATTCGGCGAATCTATTATAACTGACATGTTTACCTTAAAAGAGAAACAAAAAGGAAGCTGCACTTTAGCTGCACATTAGGAGAGCACGGCGGAAATTTTTCTATTTTTGCACTGGAAATACCATAGAGTCAGTAAATTGTTAGCGTGGCATCTTTCCTCGCAAAAAAGCGAGTTTTTGGTCTTTGAACGTAGAGGTGTTGTTCTGTGGGCGTGTCCCTCGAACATTTCAGGCTGATTTGAATGCCTTCTCCTCCTCCTGCCGATATTTAATTTAATTTGTGGCCGGGAGTACTTTTACCATAGAGCGATACACAGACGGACACATCGGCCGACAGGTATTTCATACCAACATATGTGTATAAGATATGGTTTCTTTTGAAAGTATAACTTGAAGTTCTCGATGCTAAGTATAGAAAGTTGACTTATTTTTTTCTTCTTTTTGAAAAAATCAAGCGTAGATCAACAGTAGAGTCGCCAAGAATTCGAGTTCATTGAAAAAACCTGCAATGCCGAAGTTATAGTTGAAATTCTGCAGCATATCCACGCAATCCCCAAATACAAAAAATCCGCTGCTAACAAGTTAGTATTCGCCGGTTCAAATGTTAGTGCGGTAGAATTTATTTTGTTCGTAGCTATAGTGAATGTTCAGGCGGTAAAGGCTTATCACTTATCGATTGGGTGCACCGATCCGCACCAAGTGATACCATGAGTTGGAGATATCCCCTGAGTGGTTGCTCATTAAAAAAGAAATAAATGAATAAAATTGAAGCCACGAGAAGCGAACGCTGAAACAAGCTGAAGAAAAAAGGCCTTTTGAAATTTTAATTTGGAAGAAATTTTTGTCTTAATTGAACCCTTATTAAGGGTTTAATGATTTTGGCCACTTCTATTGGCAGGGCAGGGTTGCATTTAAATTTTTTTTGTCGTTTTTTTTATATTTGCCGAATTGTTCAGCGCATTCGAAACAGTTGCAATACAGCGCTGCGACTCTGTACGTAAAGCTGATGTCATGGACCATTTACAATGGTTTGCCTTTCATGATATTTTTTTTTTCACAATTTTTGTATACTTTCGAGAGTGTTACAGGCCCCCAAAGAAACAAGAAACGAAATTCAGAGTACATTGCTTAAAAAAGTTTCAGTTGCAATAAAATTTTCATAGTCATAAAACTGACTGACTATCTTTGCAACGTCAGCTCGTTTGTTATGGAAAGAAACTGGCGTTTAAAAAAAGACAGTTTTCCCATTCGTTACATTAGCGGTGTGTAGTAAGCGATCAATGTTTTTAGATTTGTCCCCTTTTCCACCATGGCATGGTAGTCTTGCTGAGACAGCATTTTATGTCTTTATGTTTACTGTAGAGTTATTTTTTTAAAACTATCGCAACTAATTTTTTCTCTCAAGGAATGGCGTCAAATAAAATAAATATTTATTTTAATTTGTATACATTATAGTCAATATAATCTTAAAATGGATTCTATTTCCACTTAAAATAAAATTGATACTACTCGATAATACCCGAACATAAATAGAGAAAATTTGTTTCGAGTTAAAAACTTTTTATATAAATAACTCCGTAATAACTATATGAGTACGTGTGACGATTTAAAGGCACTTAAAAAGAAAAAAATTAGAATTATTTACGTAAATTCATGAAAAGTATTTACTTAAAATATCTTGTGTTCTTCATTTTCTATGTAACGCATGGAAGTAAGTGTAAGGGGTCCTATAAAAATATATTGATTTCTCGCTTACCACGAGAACCTAGTCCATTTTTGTACCTATCACCTGAGGAGGAAGGTTTGCAAGTCCCAGGAGAAAGCATTTGAGACGCCCCAAAGTGTGTATATTCTTGATCAGCATCAAATCCTAAATCGATTTAAATATGTCCGTCTGATTAATGTGTGTTGTAAACATTCTCTTGGTCGCAAAAAAAAAAATCATCGATTTTAAATTTGGCAGAAACCGTGGAAGTCTTTGCATACAAGTTGATACTGGAAATGGTTCAAATCGGTCGAAGGACACGTCTACAGCGCCACATAAACTGATGATAACTTTTTTGCTCATTACTCATAAACTATACCACAAATGTACAAAATGTACAAAAATTTGAAGGCATATTCTACGGGCGATGATGTAACATTTGTGCACAAAAATGGAAAAAGTTAACCACGCCTGCCCCATATTACAGTGTTTAAAAAATTGGTTATTTTTTCAATAGCTTTGTAACACGCAGAAACATTCTGCGAAAACGCCATAAAGTATACAAAGTCTTGGCCAGTTTCAAAACTTGAATGCATCGAAGCATGTCCGCCTGTTCGTCTGTCCATCTGGCTGATTGTGCAACTTTATAGTATTTGTGGTAAACATTCTCCCGTTAGCGAAAAGGAATATATCGCCTACAAATTCCCAAAAGAATTGACCTAAACTTTTCAAAAGACGCGCCTACAACGCCCACATGCCTTTACGACAAAAACTTTTGCTTTGAAAATAGAAAAAATCAATTGCGCCCACTCCATATTATAGAGCATGAGAATTTTGTTCTTCTACTTCTTTTGTCCTTTTTTGGGGTAACCGGTGATGGGTATAAAAAATTCGTTTCCGGCCGAATTTAATTTTCTTACTTGTTTAACGATATTTTTTTGCTCGGTCACTTGAATAAAACCAGACTGGCGATATATGAATGTAACGATCGGTAAAGGCGTAATTTAGTGAAAAAATGTGCATGAAGTAAAATTTCTCAAGGATAATTAAATAAAAAAAATAAAATAACTAAATAATATGTCAACTATAGATATCTTTGCCGCTTGACGAATCTTATGGTCTGTCTCTAAAACCTTTGTCTTGCTAGCAGCCAGTTATCCTATTGCCTACCTAATCTATGCTAACTTGATCGTCATGAGATTGATTTTAAGATCGAATTAGAAGAAATGTCTGCCCGTAGTTCTTGGACTCGCTGTTATCGAAGAAAGGACTTCATTAGGGTGGTAGACCACTGTAAGTTTTTCAAAATATTGGAAATTTGTGAAATTGTGTTTTTTCCTGAAGAGACCGCTTGCGTACTACGGCTATCTGCTGGAAGTTACAACCTAATGCTTTACCTGTTGATTTCTTGCTTCTCTAATACGCTAACTAATCTCTTCAAAAGGTGTTTCGTTTCCAAACAAAGATACTTTAGTGAAGCTTCGCGCACACAACTGATGGGTGGGTACGAAGTTGAGACCGATTTGA